TGTGCGCATGAGTCAATGCTTGCCACTGCTGGTAAAATGCGAGCCAGTTGTACACTTGAAAAAACATCACGCTCTAAATATAGTAACACGCGCTATAAATATGACTACACAATATTATAAGTTTACAAAATATTGAATAAAATGTGAGAAATTATACATTAAGATGACTTGAAAACCGCATAGCGTTCGACAGAAGAACTATAAATTCCACACTGCAACAAGACGATCTTTGATGGCTTGAAATTTGTGGCGGTTGAGGTCGCGAAAATTGCAATAATTGTCAAAATTCACAAAAATTGCAATAATTGTCAAAATCAACAGTAATTGGAAACATTATATTATTTGGAAACTTTGGGAATTGGAATTTATCGAAAACCTTAACACAATCTCAAACGTCAAGACGTTTAAGTAACACAAATAAAGTTCATAAACCGAATTAAAAAAATTGATATTGTCGGATAAATACAAAAATTTTAAAAGATATAAGATAACAGAAATTTAAATGCACAATTTGCACTTTGCTGTAGGGTGAAGCACCGATTTCAAAATATTTTAGTCCTGGCAATAACGAGATTAAAATCGATACATAAATTGTGAACTGCGTGTAGAATTAAAAAGTCGTTCTATTAAAACTGACAGACAACAAATAAAACCACAGATAAAACAGTACTATGCCTACTTGGGGCAAGTCTATACCACAGAATAGCGCACACAGAAGGGCCACTTACGTCGGAAGCTTTGACGTTTCTGTCACCCTGGCCGCCATCTTCCTAGCCAGTCGATTACATTTTCTGGCCAATAAACTCGCTGTATTGGCTGAAGGCCCGCCTTCTGGCTAGTCAACTGCATATTTTTGCATAGAAAAATGGTGACACGTTGCAACGCTGAGTGGCCCTTCTGGTACTGATCTTTATTCTGTGTCTATACTATGCCACGCTTGCATGTTTACAGATAACGGACTACAGGAAGTGAAGTCAAATTAGTGACTTCCCATCACGTGATCTTCGCGCATGCTCGATAGAAAGTCGTTCGTTTTCTCGCAGTGGTTTCTCCTCAGCTCAGAAACCATTGCCAGCAAGGTGGTTTTTGGGTTTTGAGAGGCAACAATTACAAAAACACAGATAAAAAGAGACAAAATGAGACAAATCGTGTTTGTAAGCTACCCAACCTCACCCGTGACGATAGCATCGGAGCCGAAATCTAGCCTTAACGTAACATACAAACTGCTAGCAGGGACATAGCGACCGGGGGTGTGGGGTGTAACCCCCCCCCCCCACCCCCAACTGTTGTCTTTTCACAAAAATAATTACTTTATTACGCAAATTTTACCTGAAAATGTCAAAATTTTAACTTGAATTTTACCTGATTTTTGCCTGAGTTCCTCGAATTTGTTTGCAAATTTGCTTTAGAAAACGCCAGAAATACAGTGTCCTAGAGCTTCGAAAATGTAAACAGTTTCTGGGGGAAGACCCCCAACCCCTCTTTTCTCCAGAAACTTAGTATGACAGTGCAAATCAATCACAAAAAGCTTTATTATAATTATCACACTTCAGGTAAATTTTTAACATTGAAATTCAAATTTCAGGTAAAATCCTCCGACACCCCAACTTCAGATGCTTCCCTGCGTCCCTGGCTGCTAGCACGAGACAAGTCCAGTTTTCGACACTGATCTCATGGTGGAATGCCAGCAAAGTCGGCAAGTATGGACTATGCAGATTTATAGGATTTTTTTTTTTCAAAAATTTGTTTTATTGTATATCTCTAGCAAGCTCTGTTTACAGTATAACTGTAACGAAATTTAAATCTTAAATCTCATAGTTTTCAACTTAATAGATTGTCTTAATCTTCTCCTTTTCATTAGATTCTAGTGAAAGGTACAGGAGTGATACAGGAGTGAAATAAATACGAGCGAGAATAATATGATGGAAGATACGAGAACCTCCGGCAACCAGGGTATGTAGTAACACTGGCGTAGTTATACCACATTTACCCAAGAAACCTCCTGATCCAGGGCGATGTGTCGCTCGGTTACACGGTTACTGAATCTGTCTATTAGTTCCGGTAAATTTCCTGACATATGGAAATGCTCTAAAGTAAGCGCTTTATTTAAATGTGGCGACCGGACAAATCCAACTAATTATCGTCCCATCTCAATCCTGCCGACACTCAGCCAGATTATGGAAAAAGTTGATCATTCTCAGTTTTACAAATTCCTCAACTCACAAGATCTGCTCTTCAGTAAACAATTCGGCTTTCGTCCCAAGTATTCTACCACTACAGCTTTATTTAATTTTTCGGACGAGGTCTTACTAAACATGGGGCAGGGGAACCTCTGTGGCGCAGTGTTCTTGGACCTGACTAAGGCTTTTGACACTGTGGACCACTGTATCTTGCTGTCTAAATTATCGGCAATTGGGGTTTCGCCCAGTTCTATCAAGTGGTTTGAATCCTATCTTAGTAATCTGAAACAGCGAACCTCCTGTGGCAATGAATTATCTGATGCTCTCCCAGTAGCTGTCGGTGTGCCCCAAGAAAGCATCCTGGGTCCGCTGCTCTTTGTTGTTTATATAAACAACCTACCTGATGCTGTTATAAACTCGGAAGTAAAGCTGTATGCTGATGACACGGTCTTGTACTACTTTTCCAAAGATCCACGGCTGCTTGAAGATAAGCTAAATGAGGATCTCCTAAGGGTTGCTCACTGGCTTCGTGAAAACAAGCTCACCCTGAACCTTGACAAGACTAAATCAATGATAATAGGCAGTAACAGGAAGCTCGGGAATGTCTCCTCGTTATCATTATCTATTTTTTATACTGATATTAATACTGTATCTAGCTTTAAATACTTGGGAGTAATGCTGTCTACAAATTTTACCTGGGCTGATCACATAGAATATATCTCGTCTAAGATAATCAAGAACCTGTGTCTCTTACGCAGAATCAAGCATTTGTTGCCCCCACCAAGTTCGCCTGCTTTTTTACAATAGTTTAGTCTTACCAATTTTTGACTATGTTGACTTGTGGTCTGGGGGGACAAGGACAATCTTGTGTTGATGGGTGAGCTCCAAGTACTACAGAACAAGGCTGCGAAGATAATATTAGATAGACCTTTGTATTCATCGGCAACTGACGCGCTGTCAGCCCTGAAATGGCTCGATTTACATCGACGCAGGAATTTCCATCGCTGCATTCATATCTGGAAGTGTGTTAATGGTCTTACGGAGCATTCTCTAGACATTCTTATATGTAGTCAGATTCACAGTCATAACACTCGAAATAAGGACACAATAAGGCTACCTAAAGTTAAACGCAATTGGGGGAAACAACGCACTAACTATCAAGCAATCAAAGACTGGAATGATTTAGACAGTGATACAAGGAATGCTCCAACACTAGTGTCTTTTAAGAGAAATCTTTTGTCTAAACTTTTAACCTAAAGCCTGCTTAGAACATCGTGACTTACAGTTTTAGACTTTTGACTTTTAACTAGTTTTAGATTTTTATAAATTGCATGATTTTTTGTATATATAATGTTCCCTATGTGTAAGACCTTTGTGAAAATCACGTCATATGTGACAAAGCTTTCCTTATTAAATATTATTATATATCTTCAAGTAGATATCGCATTTGGCAAAGAACAACTTTAATTCTTTCTCTGGCAAGGAAACAACCTCTGTCCTCAACAGAATAAAAGTGAGTTTGGGAAATTACAACGGTAGCGGCAGAGTTACTTCCATTTTTGTATTCGAGCCAAAGCATGCTGTAGCAACGGTCTCACTTATATTTTGCCGGATAAAATTACTCGCCACGCCAGTGCTTGTTCGTTCTTGAACTGAATCAATCTTTAGACTTTAATCTTTATTCTAGCGAATGGCGGTTCTATGTAAATTAATTTATAAATTGCTAGCTATACTAAATTACAAACGAATAAAATAAAATAAAATAAATACAAATAAGTTATACCTTTATCGAAGGCTCCTTCCAAACTTTAAGTCTCTAACTGTTCCTTACTCGAGCACAAGCAAACGATAACTAAATTTATTACTAACTTAAGCATGCAAACTACCTTAAATACTAGCTATCTTATGCTAATTAATTAATTAATTTATTTTACCTAATCTATTTTAATTCCGTCTTTACATACCGGCCTCAAAGAGTTCAAAAACTCTTTCCTACTTAAAATTGCGAAATTATAATTGCAATCCATTTTTTTTGTTCTTTTGTTTTACTTAAAATGCTTATAATTATCATCCTTAATTTAATTAAAGTTAATTAACGTCCTAATATCATTTTAGTCAATTTACTCGATTCTGATTGGTTAAAAACCGTGCCGATTAAACATTAATCGGCACAAGTGTTCCGATTAAAGATTAATCGGCACGGATACGGTACGGTGGCCCAGAAGTGCAAAACACAAAACAAACAAAGCAGAACAAAAATTACGTTTCTTTATCATTTTTACACTATTTTGATACATTTTTACCCAAAACATGAAACACAATTAACCATTTTACAACACAATTTTCTCTTTTGTGACACATTTAGAAATCACAAAACACATTTGGAATCACAAAACACATTTGCAAATCACAAAACACATTTAGAAATCACAAAACACATTTAGAAATCACAAAACACATTTGCAAATCACAAAACACATTTAGAAATTGGAAATTCCGAAGTGCTTCCACTTCATAAAACTGGATTTCCTGTTTTTATCCTTATTTATTTATCCTTATCTGGCGTTTGAAATAGACTATTATTAAGACCCAATGGTTGGAATCTAATAGTTTTTTGCCATTATCTTGGCAATTCATTATATTTTCTACCAATTTTATTCCAAAAAGGATTTTCTCCCATTTTTCCTGCCAGAGCCCAATTTTTCCTTTTGCCAGAATTTTCATGGCAAGTGGAAGCTATGAATTCACAACGTGGTTGGAGGGAAAACAAATCCACCACGAAATGGAGGAGGAAGAAGAAGCAATAAGATATTATTTCAGAAGAAATTACGACTATAATGCGATATTAGAGTTTTTAGACAAATACCATGACATAAGGATGTCGAAACGGACTCTCTTAAACCGTTTAAGAGATTATGGTTTGAACAGGCGAAATCGCAACATCGACGAAGATCTCCTTCGCGATCATATTAACAGGGAATTGCAAGGCTCTGGTAACCTACTTGGTTACCGAGCGATGTGGCGGAGACTTCACTTGAAATATGACATTAATGTACCAAGGTCAGCGGTAGAAGAATTAATGAGAGAAATTGATCCCGAAGGTGTCAGAAGTCGAAAAGCCCACAGGCTTAAAAGAAGAAAGTATTCTAATCCCGGGCCAAATTACTGCTGGCACGTCGACGGGTACGACAAACTCAAACCTTATGGGCTGCCTATACACGGATGTATCGATGGTTTTAGTCGACGTTTGATATGGCTGAAAGTGGAAAAGAGCAATAATGATCCTAGAGTAATCGCAAACTTATTCAAAAACGCTATCATTGAGATAGAAGGTTGCCCAACACTCCTGCGTACTGACCGAGGGACAGAAAATGCAATCGTCTCGTCAGCCCAATGTTTATTTAGAAGAAATGGAACCGATTCTCTTGCTGGTTTGAAAGCCCACCGCTTTGGCTCTTCTCATAGCAACCAGCGCATCGAGGCTTGGTGGGCATTTCTAAGACGAACATGGAGTACTTGGTGGATGAATTTCTTCAAAGACATGATACATGAAGGCCACCTCGATGCAAGTAATAAATTACATCTTGAATGTATCTGGTTCTGCTTTAAGAATCTCATACAAAACGAATTAAACGGCGTTATGGAAGAGTGGAATAATCATTACATTCGTAAGTCTCGATTTCAAACGGCCTCAGGCATCCCAAACAATCTCTTTTTCCTACCTGAAAGTGTCGGTGCCACAGACCGCAAACATCCATATAACCGGGAAGATATGGAGGAAATCAATAATGAACTCCGTATACCTGCAGAGAATGATGATTCCTTGATTTATCAGGAATATTTTTCTTATGTCAGTCAAATTATTAGACTTGGTGAACCAAGTTCTGCGAGGGAAGCACTAACTTTATATTGTAGACTTTTGGTTGCTGCTCAATAAATAGCACACCAAATAATATTATATTATAATATATATTATTATAATAATATTGACATTATATATTTTCTAACAAAAACTTTTATATCAACTTTAATCAAATGTCAACTTATTATGCAATGATAATTGTTGCTCTATATAATCATGTTACTTTTAAATATCAATAAAAAGTCTTGAAATGTATCTGAAAATTGAAAACTTAGACTACGTGCAAACGGTAACGTTTTCGAGCATTTTCATTTGTGTTTTCACACAAAAACAGATTCAAATAATATCAATTTACGATAGACGTTGGAGCTAATTTAAAATATTGGATATTTTCCCTTGGACCGCGTGAACATGGCCCAAAATGATAAAAGGGACAAAAACGTTTTTGAGAACGCTCGAAAACGATGCCAGTGTGCACATAGCCTTAAACTCTAACAAGTCTTTGTAACATATATGGAAAGGGATCCATTGTTTACTTGATGCATACGATATACCACACATACAGCTAATTCAATAAAGGTTGTCCTTCCAAAAACGTAAATGTTAAACTCTGAGCGCGCAAAGGACAATGGGTTATTGCTTATTTAGACTCATAAACTTTGAAATTTGGCTTCGCAAGAGTACCTAAGACATATATAAGACTCACGACAGAAAACATACTTGCTGCAAAGGCAATTCTCTGTGTTTTAAGGGCCTAATAGGTGAAAACCCATCATTCCTTGCGCGCTCAAAGTTTAAGGTTTAAGGTTTTCGAATGACAACCTTAATTTAATCATCTGTATACAAAGTATTGCTGTTATAAGCATTTGGCAACTGAAACTCACTCTAAACTAATTGGAACCCAGGCGAGTTCAGCAGACAAAACGTGAACTCTTCAGAAAATTTTTTTCCATCTTCTAGACCACTTACTGGAAACTTAAGAATGTTAGCACATGAATTTGCGCTTATCTTTCTTGCCATATTCAAGTGGTGCAGGAACACTATGGTAGGGCGAGGAGAAAAGCCAACAGC